CTGCAGAGGAGGGGAGACCAGCGAAGAGATGGAAAGAAGGCACCAATAGAGAACATCCACTCTTGAAATCTCTGTTGCGGTTCCCTGAAACATCTATACAAGACATAGAGGCCTTCTACAAGTTTACAGGTAAGTGTTGACTCTGCCTTTATGCCAGGAAACCTGTAATGAGAGAAATACATAGGCTGCCATTGCTGAACGAATTCTGTAAATGATATTTGACTGTCATGCTGATCCAATGGTTTCTATACTTTCTAAGGCTAGGTTCACATATATGCAGGTTGCAGTTGGTATGTCTTTTTGGCCCATTTTGCAGTGTATTTTGCATTTTTAAACGCGTTTTTGATGTGTGTTTTTTTTTTATGTTTGGTATTTTTGTTGGCCAATAGGAAAGTATGACAGTTCTGTTCATGTGCTGTGACTTTGATGCAATTTTAAAACAATTTTAAGCATCAAAGTCACATCAAAGTCACACTACATGAACAGAAATGTCATACTTTTCTATTAGCAAAAAAAAAAGCAAAAAGCATAAAAAGCGCAACACTTGTGTTTTTTTGGTGCGGGTCCAATGAAGTCTATTACACGCAAAACGCAATCTACTGCAGGAAAAAAATGTCCCTGACCCTTTAAGAAAAAAAAATAGCATCAGCTCAAAACGCACAGATGTGAACTAGATCCATAGGAAGCCATGTTAAATGGACTGTAGTGTGTTTTTGCAAACTGGATAATGCACTGAAATCTAAGTGTGAGCCTGGGGTAAGTCAATGACCTGCAGCAAGTGTTCAGTTGAAGATGAGTTTTTGCAGCTTAGGCTATTTATTTTTTGACACCTGATGGGGGAACAGGAAAAAAATAACTGGGCTTTACCAATCTCAATTGCTCTCCCCTGAAGTCACATTCACTATTCCTGCTGTTCAATTAACTTTTATCACGTGAAATGCATCTTAGCTCATCTATGGGTCCATCTACTAGACAGCAGGGAAAGTGAGTGTAACGTTTTGCTCTACACCCGCCCAGCGAATTTAGCTTTGTTCTGCCCAAAGCCACCGCATGCCAGGTCCTTCACCACCATCTTCATTGGTCACATCATCTTTATTATTATTATTATTATTATACAGGATTTATATAGCACCAACAGTTTACACAGCACTTTACAAAATGAAGGTGACATTACAGTTACAATACAATTTGGTACAAGAGGAAACAGAGGGCCCGGCTCCTTAGAGCTCACAATCTAGGAGGAAGGAAGGGTTGAGTGATACAAAAGGTAATAGCTGTGGGGGGGGATGAGCTGATGGAGGAAATAAATGGTGGTTTACTAGGTAGAAGCAGGATAGACTTCTTTAAAGAGAAAGGTTTTCAGGGATCGTCTAAAAGTGGATAGATTTGGAGACAGCTGGACAGATTGGGGTAGAGAGTTCCATAGGATGGGAGAAACTCAGGAAAAGTTCTGGAGGTGAGCATGGGTGAAGGTGACACAGGAACTAGAGAGCAGAAGGTCTTCTGGGAACTGGCTGTATTTTCTGAGTCCAAACCAGTGGGGGACCCCAGAAGAGGAGGACTGGGGCTGCTCTGTGCAAAACCCATTGCACAGAGCAGGTAAGTATAATATGTTTGTTATTTTTATTTTTTTTTTAAAATGAAGGTTTATTGTTACTTCAAGTATTGCATTTATTATACAGGTCTACACATCTGTCCAAAAAGTGGGGCACCTATGGAGGAACGCAGGACAGATGGATTTGGTTCCAAAAGAGGGACTACTGGGAGGTAAAAGAAACAAACAAATCCAGCTGGAATGGCCTGGAAAATGGGAATCATAATCACACAGAGGGACAAACTCTTACATTTCGATGTATAACAGAATTAGAGACAGCATGTGTGTGTGTGTGGGGGGGAGGGGGTTGGGGTGTGGGTTGGGGCGTGGGACCAGAAACAGTGTATCTACAGCCAAATCATTTTTCCGTGTTTCAGATTGGGTAGCAAGCAGCTAGAACCCCTTTCAAGGCTTTACTGCTCTTTGTATCACTGCTAGGGAGACTAAATCACTTTGTTTGTCTAAATGACAAATTTAAATTTTCCTACTATTCAAAAACCATAAATGACAAATTTAAATTTCCTACTATTCAAAATAAATAAATTACAAATTTAAAAGGTTCATAAAGTATATTACTGACAACTCAGCCAGTCAGTGCGGTCCCTGCAGCAGAAAAAGCACCAAACAAGTTCATGACCAAAGTATCAATACTATGGTCCAAATGGAAGCTGCCTAGAAGGGACCCAAGTGCCATGTCAAAATGTTAAATCATTGAATAAATATGTACAAAAATCTCATAGGAGACTCTGAGAGCAGATGAAGCGATAGGTCCATGCTGGTGTCAGTCAAACTCCTATGGAGGGAGCTGGGGGCATGGCTTACCAGCACTCTGTGTGTCTATGGACACACACAGCCTTGTTTGGGATGGTCCCCCCATGGGTAGCCCTTGCTAAGGGGGTGCTCAGAGTTAAAGTGATAGACAGGGTGAAGATGGAAGCCTCTGCAGTGATGACAGCACACCGCTGGACGGCTTCATTTTAAGGTAAGTCCTCCATAACAAGCTAGTATGCAATTTATGGGTGTAAAAGCAATCAGTGTAAAAAATAAAAAAAAAATCTTCATCACCCCCCACAAGTAGTACAGTGTAACTATGGTGACACTGTACTGCTAGGGTGACAGTATGTTAAAAAAAAAATACATACATAATATAAAAAAATAAAATAAAAATGTAAAAAAAACATTTTGAAAAATTATAATTTTTGGTTATAACCTAATTTGGGTTATTTTTTTTTTTTTTTTACTAAAAACATAGCTGAATACATTTTGGCCAAGATTTGTGAAGAAAGATTATTTATTTGCAAATTTTTATAAGAAAAACACTTTTTTTTTCAAAATTTTGGGACATTTTCATTTATATAGCAAAAAAAAAAAAAATCCCAGTGGTGAATAAATACCACCAAAAATAAAGTTTTATCCGTCTCAAAAAAAATGCTAAAACATTCATATGGGTACAGTGTTGCATGACCGCACAATTGTCATTCAAAGTGTGATAGCGCTGAAAGCTGAAAATTGGCCTGGACAGGAAGGGGGTGAAAGTGCCCAGACTTGAAGTGGTTAATATGTATTTAAAGTTGTTCCAAAGTCAATATGGTTGTGACCTGGTTGTATGGTTGAATGGTTGTGCATTCTCTGCATTAAGGTATGAAGCTCCCCACTATTTGTTCTGCCTCTCTTTCCCTAAACACTTAGATGACTTTTGTCACCACTCCAGCAGTGTCCCGTCTGCAGCACCACTCTTTTGACTTCCTAGTCTCACAAGAGACATTGAGAGCAGTGGGAGCCCTAGCCTCCTGCTGCTGTCAATTAAACTCCAGTGAGAAGGAAGCGAGGGCGTGGCTTACCGGTGTGTGTGTCTATAGATGCATACAGTCTGGCTCAGGAGCACACCCACTTGAGTGCCCCCATAGCACACCGCTTCCTAAGGGGGCACTCGAATGAAGGAGTGGACAGCGTCAATGGGGGACTACCAAAGAAGAGGCAGAGGACCGCTCTGTGCAATATTCTTGCACAAAGCAGATAAATATAACCTCATTTTAATTTTAAAAAAAAGCCTTTAATAGCACTTTAAATGTAAACTGATGACCTGTGGAAGCTTTTAAAATGTCACCTAGGGAAAATATAGGGAACTGAAGTTTGTTGTTTTGCAATTTTTAGGCTTGACATGTTGAGTATTATATTTTGTGCACCAAACTAAACATTATTTCATTTTTCATCTAAAGGCATAAAATCAATCGACCCGGAAATCTCCAAACCATTTCCACCAGAAAAGAAAGAAGAGATCTTCAAGTTAAAGCTGTACGCACAGATGGACAGGATGATGGAGTCCTTCGTTGTCAAATCAGGAAGACCAAGATTTTTTGAAAGAAGAGAAGAAGAACTTCAGATTGCAGAGCAGTATGGATATGTGCCGAGGTGAAGACTGACATTTCTTTACAGACACACATTGGTCAACACACATTGACTGGCATACACCGACCTACACTAACAGAGGACGTCCACATGTACATAAACTGACTGCTACATACTTTAGAGAGATGACAACCAAATGAGAAGAGAGTAGATCACACACACAGATTATAGGATGAGGCCTGCTACAAACATACACCCAACATTAGAAAAACGATGACCAGCATCGAGTAGGGTAGCTTAGGGTAGCTTAGTGTAGGTCCTGCCCTAGGAGAGTCTACCTTGTCGTGGTGGGCAGGCTTGACATCTGTTGGTCAAAAGTGTGTCAAGTGAATGGCAGAGAGGATCGCTAGATCTCCACTTTTGGCCAATGATTTCACCAAAGGACTCTCTGTTTAATCAGAGTACATGAAGACAATTTAAAGGTTTATACTTTTATAAACATACAATAAAAAAATTGGTATAGTTCCATTTTCATTGCTTCCTCTTGTTTTTATTTATCCCTTTCATGACCAGGGGTTATTAACCTCCCTGGCGGTATGATTATTTCAGATTTTTGGTGCTGAAAGCGGTACCATTAATTTTGCATGGAAATTTGGCGTTTTATATTGTAGGCCTGTAATTTTTAGCAATAACTCACTGAAATCTGTCCGAACAAGAGTCTAGTAAACATCTCGGGTTGGATAAAACTTGAAACACAAAATCATAAATTATAATTTAATAAATAATCATAAGAAATAATAATATAATAATAATACATTTAATTCAATAATATAATCAAACCAAAAACACTGAAATTTGAAATATAGCGCCAAGTTCGCACATCACTGAGCAAAGTCGCAAAATTGTTTTCAGTGTCTGATGACGAATTTCCCCACGAATCATTATCACTCAATTCTGCAAGTGGTTCTGATTTACTATCGCTGTTCTGTAGCTGGTCTAAAACCGCTTTTGACCTAAAGGGACGCTTTGTGGACGCCATGTTTTTCAAGTTTTCAGGCAGAAAGAACAGTAAAAATGTAGGCAGGGCACAGGACAAAATGTATGTGAAATGCTTTGATACAGTAATGTTTTACTATGTGATGATTTTAGTGAATGTCACTTTTTGTCATTTTCAAATTTCCCGCCGTTCCGTCCCCTGTATGTCCTGACGCTTGCAGGAGACGAAACCCAGATGACAGATGCCGGCATCTGCCGGATTACATTGCCAGGGGACACTGCAGGGGGGGCATTGTGGGGAGCGCAGGACAAGGTAAGAGAAGAACAGATCCCGGAGAAGCGCTGCATGGTAAGCCCAAGTGTAGCTCGGGTTTACTGCTTGTGGTACTGAAATTTTACCCTGAGCTACACTCAGGAATACTGCTCCAGGGAGGCTACAACTTGGCCACCATTTAGCAGTTTTATTTCTAGTATGCATCAGCTAACCTGACAATCAGGGGTGGACTGACAACTCATAGGGCCCCCCGGCAATAGGGGATCATGGGGCCACTGTGTCCTTGCCCAAAACTCAAAAAAGCCTATGAAAAAGGTACCAGGGGTATCTCATGAGGGCCCCCTACTGACCCCGGGCCCTGGGGCAGTGCCGAGTTTCCAAATGGTCAGTCCGCCCCTGCTGACAATAGGCAATTAATTAATGAAGATATCCAAAATTGGTAACCCATAAATTAAAATAACAGCCCTAAAATGTTTCTTCCACTTCTGGTGTGTGTAGGGACGTGTAATAGGTGTTTAGGTATGTACATATGTCCTAACCATGTATTGATGTATGTATGCACTGACAAGCCCCCGATGTGGTAGTAGTGACAAGGTCCTCTTTATGGAGACATCAGGGGTCTATTAGCTTCACCCCAAGAACTGGATATAAGTTTGAATGAAACCTGTGATGAACCAAGTAAATAAACCCCCCATACCTTCACCCCAAGGGATATAAGTTTGAATCTTTGATAACCCCCTTCCTTTCCAGGGCCATTTTTCAGGTTTCAGCGCTCTCACACTTTGAATGACAATTGCGCGGTCATACAACATTGTACCCAAACTAAAATGTTATCATTTTTTTCACACAACTAGAGCTTTCTTTTGGTGGTATTTAATCACTACTGGGTTTTTATTTTTTGCTAAATTAACAAAAACAGACCAACAATTTTGAAAAAAAAAACAAGTTTTTCTTTGTTTCTGTTATAAAAGTTTGCAAATAAATAATTGTTCTTCATAAATTTAGGCCAAGATGTATTCTGCTACATGTCTTTGGTAGAAAATAACCCAAATTAGGATGTACTATCTAGTCTGTAGGAAAGTTATAGAGTTCACAAACTATGGGATATATCTGAAAATTGATCTATTGATTGATTGATTGATTTATATATATATATATATATATATATATATATATTTTTTTATATATATAAAAAAATAATTTTTAATGTTTTATTACATGTTTTTTCTCTTTTTTTAAGATTTTTTTTTTTATATTTCACTATGACCAAAGTACTATAATGTTACCATAGTATCATTGTACTACTTTTGGGACGTGATCAGTATTTTTTTTTTTTTTTACAATTTGCTTATAGCAAAGAATTACTATTATAGCAAAGGCTTCGTTCACACTAACTATATCAGAAGGCATCAGATAGGCGTTTGGGAAGCGTTTTTTAACACTTCTCAAATGCCTATGAAAATTCTGCACATGGCAGCACACAGTGCTGTTCACACTGAAGTGTTAGTGTCGCGTTTGCGTCAAGGCAAAACAGATGCCTCATGTCGAGTCAGGCGGAGTGTAAGCCTCCCATTCAAGTCTATGGTGCCGCTCCTCAAACACCTGGCAGGCGTTTGTGGGGCGGTTGCGAGGCGGTTTCAGAGTGTTGAAACCATTTAACGTCATTATAGTCGTCTGTGGTGTGGTTCAGGGGTGGACTGACAACTCATGGGGCCCCTGGGCAATAGGGGATCATGGGGCCCCTGTGTCTTTGCCCAAACTCAAAAAAGCCTATGAAAAAGGTACCAGGGGCATCTCATTTCCAAATGGTCAGTCCGCCCCTGCCAGGGGAATCTCATGGGGCCCCCTACTGACCCCGGGCCCCATGAGATGGTGGGTCCTACAAGGACCTACAAGGACCAAATAACAAATGGTGCCCCAAGTAATCCAATGGGATCCAATAGTGCTCCAAATCAAACAAGTAAGTCACAACAGGACTCAATGTGCTAAAAAAACCTCCCACCGGAACTAAAAATCAGTTCCACCACATAACACAAAACACACGTGCATCCCAACAAACGCATAAACTAAGAACTGATCATGCAAACAAACATGAATAAATGAATAAATATATACAGTCCCGTGAGGTGTAAAACACCTGACAATATACAAAAAAACATATATAAAGTCCACAGTAATTCTTGAAAAAAAAAAAAAAAATCTGATAAATGTGCAGAGATATCCAAAAATGGCTGAATTGCCCGCTCACCTCCATCTTGCGACCCGCACAGGGTCAGAAGGCCTTCAGGATCACTAACACATGGACCCTTAATAGTAGGTAATCCTCCACAGCTCTCCACACTGACCTCCCCTCATGTACAGATTCCAGCACAGGCTCACAGGGCAGCAGATCTCCTCTTCAGGCACATAAGGTGGCTGCAGCCACTTGATCCCTCAGAAAATAGAAGTGAATGCTTGCATAGTGTAAAAGTATTTATTCACCAAACAAAGTATCACATATCGAATATGCTCACATTTAAAATCATCTTGTACATCACATGTAAATCAAACCTCAGATCAGATGTACTTGCATGGGTGTCCAATGTAAATAAAGAATGCATCCGGCCGGAAGTACGTCACCGCCAACGCGTATCGTCACGCTTAACACGTGACTTCATCAGGGCAAGCTGATAGGGTGACACACTTTCCTTATATAATGACCTCCTGTCAATAAATCCCATTAGTAAAGGCACTACTGCGCATCTCTAGTGGCCATTTTGATGTAGTCCATAGGTCCGGCGGCCATTTTCCCTTAGTTCATTTTGCATGTAAATAGAATGACTGCATCAGAACAATATAGGGAAGCGGCTATTTTAATGTAGTCCATAAGTCCAGTGGCCATTTTCCCTTAGTTCATTTGCATGTAAATAAAATGACTGCATCAGAACATTATAGGGAAGCGGCCATTTTAATGTAGTCCATAAGTCCGGCGGCCATTTTCCCTTAGTTCATTTTGCATGTAACTAAAATGACTGCATCAGAACAATATAGGGAAGCGGCCATTTTAATGTAGTCCATAAGTCCGGCGGCCATTTTCCCTTAGTTCATTTTGCATATGAATGGAATAACTGCATCAGAACAATACAGGGAAGCGGCGGCCATATTACTGTGGCCCAGAACAATCTCTTTTACAGCTGCCTTATTAATAGAGGTCTGAAAATACTTCATATACTCCTTAAGAGGCAGCAAAAAAAAAGAATATATTAGTCAGGAAAAGACACACTATAAAAATATATAAAATATTAATAACAGACTGAGAGACAATAGGAGCTAATAAAAAATATTAGAAATATATGTAACAAAAAATCTTTATTAAAAATATATATAATACATATATGTATAACACATATGTATATTAAAATGATAAAATTACTAGAAAATATTAAAAATGTATAAAGAATATATCAAAAAATCTAAAAAAATCTAAACTCATGCATCTACATCTTTCAGAGGATAACACCAAGTCACATAAAAATATTAATAACTTGTCAAAAATCTGAAATAAAACAATTAAGATCAAAATCAATGTTCAGGCCTTTAGGATTCAAAGTTTGCATTAAGAAAATCCATTTTGATTCAGCTTGGCTCAGGCTATGTACTTTGTCGCTGCCTCTCCAATGTCGGTTATATTTTTCAATACCCCAAAAACTAAGCTGTGTTGGGTCTTTATTGTGATGCGTTAGAAGATGCCTTGATAAGCTATGCTTAGGAAACCCTTTTCTAATTTTTTGCACATGTTCCCTAAGCCTCATCCACAGCGGTCTTTTAGTCCGACCAACATACTGTAAACCGCAACTACACTCCAATGCATATACGACTCCTTCTGTCCTGCATGATATAAAATCTTTTATAGTATATTCCTTACGTGTACTATTTGCAATGAATTTATCGGAAACTCCAGGGGCATTGGCAAGATATAACATACATAAGGACGTTAGTCCAAACTTTTCCAAAGTAACCAAGTATAAATAATCCATACCTGGACTTGTTCTTTAAACAACTGCATCTCTTGCAGCAGGTCTGACTTTTTTGTTGGTTGCTCAGTGTTCTCTGTACCTATAGATTATTTACTCCTTTGACCAGGGGCGGACTGACAACTCATGGGGCCCCCGGGCAATAGGGGATCATGGGGCCCCTGTGTCCTTGCCCAAACTCAAAAAAGCCTATGAAAAAGGTACCAGGGGCATCTCATGGGGCCCTCTACTTACCTCAGGCCCTCGGGCAGTGCCCGAGTTTCCAAATGGTCAGTCCACCCCTGCCTATGACAGAACTGCTATCATGATATGGCATCAGTTTTCCCAACCAGGGATGGATTGACAACTCATGGGTCCCCTGGGCAGTAGGGGATCATTGGGCCCCTGTGTCCTTGCCCAAACTCAAAAAAGCCTATGAAAAAGGTACCAGGAACATCTCATGGGGCCCTCTACTGACCATGGGCCCTCGGGCAGTGCCCGAGTTTCCAAATGGTCAGTCCGCCCCTGTTCCCAACATATCTAGCAGTCATCTTCAGGTATTATGACACAGAGTGGGTGCACTGTCTCTATAGGCCTCTATGCCCCCGGACTTGGCATGCCTTAGGTCGATATCATATTTTTTTTATTAGTGTATTGCTATTGGCATGAAACATACGACTTATATTTTTGCATTTTTTTTAAACACAGGCGTCCACTTACAAATATTTTCTTTGAGATAACTCTGTAATGAGTTCACTATGCTTAGTTACCATGGTTAGAGTTTGGAAAGGTGTGAGAAGAGAGAAAAGTGCTGGGTCAACTTAAACTTTATTGTAAGGTGTGAAAACATCTTGCCGATGGTTTGTTGAACTCAGCAGGCATACAGACATACAGTAAAAGCTGTTTTGATTTAACTACATTTTATAAAGCCGTGCTCAAGATAGATTTAATACTAAAAAAGAAAAAAAAAATCCACCTTTTAAGAAGAACTCCAGTCTACTTAAAAACAAGATATTATTTTAAAAGCACTAACTCCTACTTCATCATAGCTTATATAGATCAGTAGAGCTCAGAGCTGTTGGTTCTCAGCATGGGACTGTATGGTCTTGGTGCTAATAACTTCAGCA